AATGCAACATAATAACATAACATAATAACAATAAGAGCAAGAGCAATACAAAAATAATAATAGTTATAAAAATGAAATAAAGTTATGATGTGGAATAGTGCAGTATGAGTCTATATACAAGTTATTGGAATGATATATATATATTAGGTATTAGATACATACTACTGAGTAGCAGTTGAATGTTTGAAGTTGTTTCAACAGTTCAATTTTTTAACAGTCTCACTGCCCGCGGGAAGAAACTGTCTCCGAATCTTCTTGTCCTTGCCCGGATGCTGCGGTAACGTCTGCCAGACGGCAACAGAAAGAACAGTTTGTGGCTGGGGTGATGGGGGTCTTTGATAATCCGTAGTGATTTCTTCCTGAGCCGCTGGGAGTAAAGGTCCTCCATGGATGGCAGCTCCGTCCTGGTGATGTGCTGTGCAGTTTTCACCACCCTCTGTAAAGCCTTACGATCGAGGTCGGTGCAGCTGCCGTACCAGGCCGTCATGCTGCCAGTGAGGATACTCTCTATCGTGCACCTGTAGAAGTTGCAGAGTATCCTGGAATCCATTTTGAACCTCCTCAGCCTGCGGAGGAAGAAGAGCCGCTGTCGAGCTTTCTTGGTGATGGTGGTGGTGTGAAGAGACCATGTCAGGTCCTCAGTGATGTGGACCCCAAGGAACCTGAAGCTTTTGACTCTCTCCACCGTAGTCCCATTGATGGCGATGGGGGCGTGTCCCTCTCCCTGCTGCTTCCTGTAATCCACAATCAGCTCCTTTGTTTTGCTGATGTTGAGATGGAGGTTGTTCTCCTGGCACCAAGATGTCAGGTTTTCGACCTCCTCTCTGTATGCCGTCTCGTCATCGTCTGTGATCTGGCCGATGACGGTCGTGTCATCAGCAAACTTCACGATGGTGTTGGAGCTGTGTGTGGCCACGCAGTCGTGGGTGAACAGGGAGTAGAGGAGAGGGCTGAGCACGCAGCCTTGAGGGGCACCGGTGTTAAGAATCAGGGTGGAGGATGTGATGTTTCCCACCCGCACTGCCTGGGGTCTGCCCGTCAGGAAGTTCAGGATCCAGTCGCAGAGGGCGCTGTTGAGCCCGAGGTCTCTGAGCTTGATGGCCAGCTTGGAGGGCACAATGGTGTTGAATGCTGAACTGTAGTCAATGAACAGCATTCTCACATATGTGTTCCTGTTCTTCGGGTCCAGGTGTGAGAGGGCAGTGTGGAGGGTGAGGGCTATGGCGTCGTCTGTGGACCTGTTTGCTCTGTAGGCAAACTGCAGGGGGTCCAGAGATTCAGGGAGGGAGGAGGTGATGAATAATTTGACTAACCGCTCAAAGCACTTCATTATGATGGAGGTGAGTGCTACTGGGCGGTAGTCGTTGGGGCAGGTGATGATTGTCTTTTTGGGGACAGGAATGATGGTGGAGTGTTTAAGACATGTGGGGACTACAGACTGCAGCAGGGACCTGTTGAAGATGTCTGTGAACACCTCTGCCAGCTGAACTGCACACACCCTGAGAACACGGCCAGGGATGCCATCAGGTCCAGGAGCCTTGTGTGGGTTAACCCTTTTAAAGGATTTACACACATCTGCCCTATTTAAAACAAAAGGGCAGTGTAGCTCCTGGTCCCTCTGTACCTCCACAGCCTGGCTGCTCTCAAAGCGTGCAAAAAAAACTGTTTAGCTCATCTGGGAGAGATGCGCACGCAGACACTCCCGCAGCACCCCCCGCTGCTCCTTTGTAGTCAGTCATTGTCCTTAGTCCCGCCCACATATTCCTAGTGTTACAGCCTTTGAAGTCAGATTCCACCTTCTCTTTGTACTGTCTCTTTGCATTTTGTATTGCTCTCCGGAGATCATACCTAGACTTCCTGTACTCCTCCAAATCTCCCGCTGTGTGCGCGAGAGTGCGCGCTTTCAGTTTGCCGCGCACCTCACCGTTTACCCAGGGCTTTTGATTTGGGAATGTCCGTACAGAAACCTTCGGTACCACGTCATCGATCACTTACGCGACTCTGGGATTTGTAGTCTTTCTAGTTTCGTATTTTTCAAAGTCTTATATTTCAACAGTTTTAAGACAAACTGTGACTTTTTTGACATGGAAATGATTTTTTAAGATTGACAAACATCATATGTGTAATTCATGGCACAATTCAAACGGGATCGAAAGATAAGTTTTCTCTCCCCATTGACTTCAATGCATAATTTTTCCGAAATAAGGTCCCATGGGGCGGAAGTAAGTGGGAGGGACTTCGCCACTCTATGACACAAGCACACGTTTATTTCCATGCAACTCTCTGATTGGTCTGGTGTCATGCCTCTGTTGCATTCACTGAACACGGGAAATTACAGTGCTGCCGTCCTCTCTTGTGTCATGATGAGGTTCACGTAAAGCACGGTTAATGTATTATATTATTGAGGGAGAATTGTCCGGGGCTACAGAAAAAACACGACGCTACTGGTTTTAACGCTTATTCAAAATAGCAGAGAAACATGCATTATTGTACTCAGGAGGGGACATTGACAGAGGATTACTCAAAAAGTACACAGTAAAAGTACTTCATAGTACTTGTGGTACTAGTACTGAGTCCAACAGTGTCAATCTCACGAAGAACTAATGGCAAAACATATTTTTTCCCCTCATCAAACTTAGCAGAAGTGGCTTGATTTTGTTCTCAGCAGGTGACTTTGACAGAGTATTTCTCAAAAAATACACAGTAAAAGTACTTCAATGTATTGTTAGTAGTAGGCTTACTAATACAAAGTCAAACCGTATCAATTTCATTAAGAACTAATGGTAACATTTTATTTTTATCATTCATCAAAGATAGCAAAAAACATGCATTATGTACTATGGAGGGGACTCTGACAGAGGATTACTCACAAAGTACACAGTAAAGTACTTCCTTTTATTTCTGGTAGCAGTCAACTAGTACCGAGTCCAACAGTATCAGTTTTATTCAGAACGTATGGTAAAAAATATTTGTATCACTCATTGAATATAGCAGGAAAGAAAATGAAGAGCAGCTGATTGACCGAGTGCAGAATCGCTGTATAGTTTAAATCTCCGTAGTTACAATGTTGTCCATTTTAGACAAAGGCTTATTATATTTACAGCCCTAAGAACATTCATTTTCTGGGCTCAATATGTGTCTTGGCTGTTTTCGTTGTGATCGCTAAATTCAGATCGCTGGATCGCTAGAAACACCGCTGTCATCAGGCTGGCAAGGGCTGGCAAGGGCTGTTCCATGCTCTGCTCAACCTCCCGCCTTCCCAATGGACTCAGTAGCGCCCCCTGCTGCCGTGGAGCATGTGTGAGTGAGCATGTGTGAGTGTGTATGAGCACAACCACGGCGGAATATTACTGCCAAAAGTCACGTGAGTGAGTCACGTGACTTTTGGCAGTAATATTCCGCCGTGAGAAGAAAAAGTTTTGTACCTGTAAAAAAAAGTGTTGTAGTTGTAAAAACAAGATTTGTACTTGTAAAAAGAAGTGTTGTAGTTGTAAAAAAAATGTGTGTACTTGTAAAACCTATGCTGAATTTGTCTCTGAAACATGATTTATTAGAAAAATGGTATGTGTTTATTTGATAGATACGTTTTTTCTTTGCAAAACTAAATGCATTAGTTGAAGTCAAAAATCAAAAAATCCATAAAAAGATTTCATCTGTGGAAGCCGTAATACTGTAAAAAGCACGACCAATTATTTTAGCCGGCCCGGCTAAAATAACTGGATGGCCTACCTACCTGTCAGCCTTCCATCTGTGCACAAATGTATTGTGCCCTCATTGGTCATGTGCACGTTCGTGTGTGTTGGAGGAGGGGCTCTATAAGGAAGTGGCAGATTTTCTCCGGTTGTGTATTTTCAAATTCTAGCGATCTCGAGCCGGTTTCTCAAACTTACCTACCCCACCTTTAAGAAGAGGTATATAAGTATGACAAGTAAAAATACTCATTATGCACTGTGGTTCTTTTCAAAGTATTATCATGCTAAATAATATTATATTATTCAGGTTTTATCGCTTAAAATACATGTTCGTCAATGTTGAGCCAATTTTTTAATTTTGTAAAGATTAAAGCAGGACAACATGTCACAGTAGAGGCTCAAAATATAAATGTGAACCTGAAAATGAACATGACAGGGCCCTCTTAAAAAGTAGCTATAGTAACTATAAGTGTAAAACGAATGGATAAGAGCAAATGAAATAAAAAAGTACAATATGAAAAAATAGTTCCTAAAGTACTCAGGTAAATGTACTTAGTTGCATTCCACTACTAGAACTGTAATTCTTACAATGTGAAATTAGCTAAATGTGAGTATACCATAGTGATAATGCTGATACCTTTCTATGTATTTGTGCTAAATGTATGACTGGTTATATATGCAGGAGTCAGGACTCTATATTCCCTTCAGCCCTGCTGCCGGAACACAATCCATTCCAGCCTCCATACAGCGTGTCTTATCTCCTCTCCCATCACTTAGCCGTGCGTTGCACATTTTAATGCATTTTCTGGGATTTAAAACAATTAATTAAGTTGGTGTGCAGCCCGTGACGCCAGCTGAACGGGACGCGCTTCCTGGCGCAGCTCCTCAGACGTGCTTGTGTTACAGTAGGCTACATGACGCCTCTCTTCAGCACCCCCCCCCACCTCTCTCCCTCTCTCTCTTTCTCCCCCGGCTTACTAAAGGTGACCGTGCAGCCGCTCACTGCTGCTCATTATTTAACGTCTTCGAAGTGAGCGGCAGCGGGGAGACGCGCATGCGGCAGATCAGCTGTGCGTGCTGCAGGACGCTGAGCGCGGGGAGAATGCATGTGCCGCCTCATGCACCAACCTCAACTCCTCAAGTGAACTACCTATAGGCTGGTTTTTGTATTCTTTTTTCATCTTGGCTACAATTTCTCACCTTGACAATGACGCTCGGATGTGGATAAACCGCCGCGCATGCGTCGCTCTTGGAATCTTGCAGCCTAAATTGCGTCCCTGAGGTGTTTGTGTGAAAGTGTTTGGCAGGATGTGGACCGCTGTGGCGCGCGGGGGCTTGGGCTGGGGGGTCTGCTGCTGCTTGTCGCTGCTGGTGACAGTAGTGATCGGGGCGCAGAGGTGAGATCTGATCCAAAAAACATAATGCCTTTTTATTTCATCAGATACAAAATTAAAATCTGCTTTCTGTCCTCAGTGCAAACGAGCCCAGCAACATGTCCTACGTGAAAGCCACCGTGGACAAGCTGCTGAAGGGCTATGACATCCGTCTGCGGCCTGATTTTGGAGGTAAGAGACCCCCCCTACCCCCCTCCCCAGTGTGTGCGCCCCCGTGCAGACATGAGATGCTGCAGAGTGCTCACTCCTCTGCTCTCTCCAACAGGCGCTCCTGTGGATGTGGGCATGAGCATAGACATCGCCAGCATCGACATGGTGTCTGAAGTCAACATGGTAAGTTTGCTGCTGCCACATCCTCTGCAGTGAGGCACAGTTTCTATCAGAGAGGGGGGGGGGGGGGGGAGAGACCGGCTCGGCTCGGCTCGGCTCTGAGCTTGGTGCAGCGCCGCTCCTGGAGGAAACTAAAAAAGAAAAGAGCTCCCTCCCTCCTTTTTTTCCAGCACCATGGAGAGAACCGCAATGTGTCAAAGCCAATCCGTATGCATCAAGTAGTACAGAGAGAGAGAGACATAGGAAAGAGATGAGGGAGAGAGGAGGGGGGGCAATGTGCTTTGGCAATACTGTGTTTTTGATATGGTAATGTCAATAAAGCTTCTATATGAATTAGGAGAAAAAGAGAGGAATTGTTTTGATTTGGTTGATGATATCCATCCGTTCAGCGCTTTTCCTAAATTTGAAATGACATAATATTATTAATATAAGAGTTTTACCGCCTTGTACAATGTGGTTTGGCAATGCTGTGTTTTCGATATGCCAATAAAGCTTATTTGAATTGGAGAGACTGAGAGGAGCTGTTCAGGGATTCCATCTGCAGCGGTGTGAGCCCGGTGTCAAAGCGGTAGTGTGGTGCTGGTGGTGTGTGTGGGGGTGGGGGGCAGACAGAATAAGACGTCTGTGTGCATGCTTTGGCTGTTTTTGGGCCTTAGTGCAGTTATTACATAACGGCTGTCAGTGAGTCAACGGGAGGAAGAAGCCATTCGCCTGCAGAATATGATTTGACCACTTAATGCAATGCAGCGCTGCCAAGGTGAATACACAGCATCTGTGTGTTGTAGCAGTGAGACAGAGTGTCTGCAGGAGGGATTCACATACTGATCATGTACATTTCAACTGCTGTTGCTAAGCAAACCGTCATATCTCTGTTTGTTGTTTTTATTTCCTGTTTAAGTGTTTATATAACTAAAGAAAGGCTAGGGGAGGCGTGTGGTGCAGTGGGTTGTGTGTTGGTGTTCGGATCAGGGGGTCACAGGTTCAAACCCCACTGCAGTCAGCATGTTGTTGTGTCCCTGGGCAAGACCCTTCACTCCAAATTGCTCCTTTGGGGATTGCCCACAGTATTGAGTATGTAAGTCGCTTTGGATAAAACATCTAACAAGTGACATGTAATGTAATTCATTTCCTCAATCAACTGGGCACTAAAAAAAACACCAATGCTCACGTTTTTCTTTACTTGCTATATTTAGTGCATACATGCATCCCAATGCAATGAATGGCAAATATGCTCTTTAAATACCTGAATAGTGCACTCGCAATGGTCAAAGAGCTGAGTGTGAAACGATTGACACCTTTACACTCAAGGACTACCATCTTGGCGCAAGCAGCCGCGATTGAAATTGGACTGGCAAACAAAGCACTATACAAATAAAAGTTATACAGATGTTTTAGTTCAGTTTTTATTAAATGGACCAAAATACTGGTGTTGAAAAAATAATCCACCGTTAATTTTATTGGGTTCATTGAGCAGTCTGTAATGATTTGCTACTGCAAACGCTAAGGTTGCTAGCTAGCTAGCTAGCTAACAGCGTCAATCGTCACTTCCGTTGAGGGCACAGCAGCAGTGTTCAATTTGAGACAAAACTACACCTTTGAAATGCAAACAAAGAGAAAGTGTTCACAGTGTACTGCATGGCAATGTACTAAGTTGAACTAAGTATCCAAATTGAGACAAAGCACAATTGTTGTGTAGCATAGTTTTAAAGGCTTCACAAAAGTGTCCACTGTTTTTTTTTTGTCTTCCTTGATTTTATCTACATCTGTTTGACCAATCAGGATTAACGGTTCTACCCATTAAAAGTATCTGGAACTAAGATTTAGTCCGGAGCAGTGCCCAAACAATTCCAAAAACTAAAAGTGCGACCAAGCTAGGTTAGCCGTAGCATCACTATGTGAGGAATCTTAAGGCCCAGACACACCAGGCCGATATCGGCTGTCTTCGGTTGTCTGGCGACAAAGCGTGCCATGTCGCCCAAAGTCAATTTGGTGTGTCCCGAACCCTCGGCCGTGACACGCCTTATTTGGCCTTTCACGGTCGACACACGGCCGATTCAACATGTTGAATCGGCCGTGTGTCGGACACAAGCTATCGGGCCAAGAAACCACTCTGATCAGCTGTTCAGCTAGCAAATGAGAAGCGAAACGGAAGTGAGGGACGTAAACAAATAATTTAAGAAGGCACAGGACAGCAGCTAAACCCCAGCAGGTGATACTTAAAGACATCAAACATAGCCCTTAAATGTCCTCTCTTACCTCCCACACATAGCAGGGACATCTCTGATATCGGCGGGAGCGTCCCCGGCGTCCGGTTTTTCATCTCATGGGTTTATTTGTCAGTATAAAGTTGCAGGATTAGTCTCAAGTACCTCAACATTGTCCTTAAGTACAGTGTCTAAGTAAATGAGATAGTGTCTACTGCTGTTCATTTACCTATTGTGAGTCGCCTCGGATAAAAGCATCACATGGAAATGTAAATTTAGCAAGAAGTGGCCATTATTACATTGCTGACTCAATAAACTACACACCCGCCAGAACACTGCGATCATCAGATGCAGGTCTATTAACTGGGATTTTATAGTATGTCTGCACTTTATGTGCTCATTTCATCATTCATGTATTTTTATATTCTAAAACATGTTTTCGATGGACGAGAGTGAAAATGGAACGCACACGCTATTTGTTGTTTGTTTATATCAGTCTGTTCTTCTTCTCTGTCTTCCGGTTGTTGCCTATTTTGAATGACGAATACACACTACCGCCGCCTGCTGGTAAGGAGAGTTATTGCCACTCACGCATGCGCAGTTCGTACGTGCTCGGCTGAAGTCTTTGCGGTGTGTTCCAGTGCGACACATGGCCAAGACGCAGGAGAACTCGCCGATGCAACAGTCGATGTCGGTGTTGGCGAGTTCTCTGGTGACTGCCTGGTGTGTCAGGGCCTTAAGTCCATACATCTTCTTTCTCTTTGTCTCAGAAACAGTGGCGGTTCTAGACCAATTTGACTGGGGGGGCCAGGCTGGGGCCAGTTATTTTCTGAGGGGGGCACAATAAATGCAGGACGAAAAAGACAAAGACAGTATGAAGTAATTGCGCATAAGAAAACAATGCAATGCAGTTATTGGTATTTGTTTCAGTACACATATTTATTTCAGATACTTATAGTTACAGTGTTTACGCTCTAATGCAGGGGTCTCCAACCTTTTTTAGGGTGAGAGCTACTTTAAAAAAATAAAACAAGTCGTGAGCTACTTTTACTCCTCCTTTTTGTTTTTTGCAGTGTATATATTTAGCATATTTTAACATTATGATATGCTGACCTTTAACCTTTGTGTGCTGTTTGGGTCTGTGGGACCCGTTTGCAGTGTTTACTAAAAGAAAATGTATGCAATTTAATTATTTTAACTGCTTTATTTGGGGGTGGACCACACATCCTCTAGGGAGGTCGGAAGGCAGGCTCCCCCGGGGAGATTTTTTTTAAAATGTTGAAGTGAAATGCATCAATCTGGTGCACTTTGAGCACGACATGAATTGATGGATACAGCTCTCAACACTCAGATGAAAGGGAGCTGTATACTTTTCAATAATCCAAACATCTTTAGAATATGATCACAACCAATAACAAATCATTTAAACTTGATTATTCTTATCTTATGTTACCTAGTGTTAGAAATGTGTAGGTTCTCTCGCGTCCCAGGAGAGAAGCTTAAAATAAAGAGACTAATGGAGTCTCTGGAAAGGTTCAAATTGGTTACTTTAATTACATAGCGTGGTAATGAAACAAACAGAGGAGTTAGTGAGGAGACAAAAGCAGATGTTGTCTCGCAGCTGGTGCCGTGGAAAAGAGGATGAGAACACGTTGGTTCTCCCACTTGTATCTCTCCTTTGCTCCTCCTCTCTCGGGGCTGTGACGTGGGGGTCCGTCCTCCTCTGTCTTCTATGTCCGATATCGCGCATAACAGAGGATTTAGACGTTGTGTATTTATTGCATAACTCCACACGCCTTTTCTACTCATGGACTCATTCATGACTTTTTATTTAATGCATTTTAACGGCTGTAATCGTTCCGTAATACCGGAAGTGACGTCACTGTTGATATCCGGAGTCTCCATCCCGTAAAGCTTTTCAAAATAATCTTTTAGCAACAACGTTAGCCACAGACGAATGCTAACCGGAAATGTTTTCAGAATAAAACAGTTTTAAGCTTACTGTATGTTTAAACTCAATTACGTAATTAAACATTGATTTTAATTTCTTACATTAGTTAGCATTCTTTCTTTTTATTTATGCATATTTTACTAATCACTCCCCTTTTAAACTGTTGCAAGAACGTGATTGGTCGATATTCATTGTGGGGGGTGGGGGGAGGAGGGGTGTTAGATAGATATAGAGTTGTAGTAAGTAGATAGAGTTTGCTATGATTGAGGTTTCGTTTATGCATATGTGGATTTGCTCGGCGAGCTATTTATTGAGGGATTGCGAGCTACCGGTAGCTCGCGATCGACGTGTTGGAGACCACTGCTCTAATGGATCCGACTAGAATGACAAATAGCGTTAGTTACGCCTATTCCGTCAGCCAAGAAATCGTTGAATCACAAACTTTTCTTTTTTTTTTCATTTCAGGGGGGCCAGGGGGGTCCAAAGTCAGTGTTAGGGGGGCACTGGCCCCCCCCCCTAGAACCACCCCAGAAACAAGCAGAGATCTTTATTTTGAGATGCTTAGTGTTGGTTCCCTTTTTGGGTTAATAATGTTTAGTCATTGTGAGTGTAGGTGAAGAATATCGGATTGGAATAATTTTGAAGCTTGACTAGCTTAATTGGACTGTGTTATCCAGCTCTGTTTATTGGTCACTGATTGGACCATGGGGCCTTATCTGATTATGCATCTCAATGAAATCTGGGACAGGGGAGGGGGGGGCGTGTTACTGCTCCTTTTAATAGAAACTCTTGGAACAAGATGCCACTTGAGCAGGAGCCAAGTTAAACTAAAAGCCTGAATGATCTTA